GTCCAGTGTATATTTTCACCGACGTGACTTGTTTTCCGATGCCCGACAGAGTCAATCTGGCCCTTGGTCCTTTTTATGTCCTTGTCTCCGGTGGTCCCATTAATCCGTTTTCAATTATAATCAATTGCTTCCAATCAGAACTTTCGAATTTATTCGAAGGAATTTTCTAAGCACATGGTGAAAATATATACCACTTTTGTCACAGCTGAAAAAAAGTGTCGGATCTTATGAATTTATTTATCTAATTTTTTGAATTAACAATTTATCAACTCGTTGGAACTTGTAGATAATTATATATTTTTTTTAAACAAATTTTTAGAAAATACTATATCTTTTTAAACTAACCTGAATTTTCCGTAATTATTTCTAAAACTATACAGCTTAAACTTATATTGAAATTGTATTTTGCGTTCGCGAATAGTATAAATAATAGAGTTACTTAATAAGTATGATATTAATTTTCGGAGCTGATAGTTTACAATGATCGGTCTAAATGTTCTGTCTATTCGAAAAGAATAAATCAGTTTCAAATAACCCAAAATTTGAATCTCTAGATTATCAATGTAAAAACCTTTTTGATTCGTCAGCCAAAATATGTCCTTTTGACGCTATTTCCACCGTAGTTTTGGTATACATAAAATGATGTGTTCATCGTCTATTCCTGGATGTTTGATGGTTGGGGCAATGGGAATATTATGTGATTATTTTTATAGACCCACACAAGTTGGCATTCCAACGGAATGGGATGCCCATTCACACATATCCAATTTACTTGATTTGTTTACGAAAACCGGACATTTGCATACACAAAATACCTAAATTATATACTTATACAAGGGCCGTATCTGAAGGATACATTTGGCTAAGTGATTTGAGCCGAGGCGCCACGAAGCACATAAAATGGAAACGAAATGGAAGACTGGAGATTTCTAGGAGCGTTGGCCATCTTTGAGTTTTGGCGCAGGCTTAGTGTGCAAAAAGGGAGGCGATGACGGGGTTCTATGTCCTGGATTTCAGTGGGTGGGATGTTCGGAACACGCCACTCAGCCCTGATTTGATTAAAGTTCCACGAGAGCAGAACAAAGGACGAGAGGTCGATGGAATGGAAGAGGAGTAGAGCAGGTCCTGTGCATGTACATGTATATCTAGCAGATTCTGAAGTGCTTTTGTGGCTGAATTTCCGCTCGGTTGGCCTTAGTCTGCTGCTTTATGTTCTCTCTACCGAATTCGACAAATGTTGCAATTTTTGACACGACAAATCTTGTTATCTGCACAGGATAACCTGATTATGTCCTGGGCACCATTTTAATCGATTCTGATTTCTATTTCAGCTGCCAGGCGGGAACTGGACGGTGTGTGGTGGACAAAGCCCATCGGAATCAATGCCAGGCCTGCAGGCTCAAGAAGTGCCTTCAAATGGGAATGAACAAGGATGGTGGGTACTACTTACTTACCAACTGCATATTATCATAACTCAACTCGCTCTAATGAACTGAAGCACGTTTAATTGGTCTTTAACAGGACCTCAAAAGCCCGGCCACACGTGTCCTTGCATATATCTAAACTCGAACCCTTTCCCACGTTGAAATCCCCATAAGAGAACATCCTCATTTGGGGGTGGTTCAGTTTAGGGTGAAGGTGAGGGCGAGGGTGCTCCTTATTTACATATTGCTCACCCAATTGATTTGTTACCTGCTGCTCGTGTTGTCTTTGACAGATTTTATGCAGCTTTAGCGCTGCCACTTCACTGCACCCCAATTGTTCATTTTGACTGAAAGTTTTCCTCATTGTTTTGATGGCTGCAGAAACTTTGAGCAAACAGTGGTTCGATTTCTTGAATAGTAAATAGACAAACAGCAGCCGTCACTCACGTTCAGGTTTATAAAATCAATATGAAGTGATTGTACTTACCTTGTTGTACCTTAAGTATTATATTTTTGCTAGTTTACGTTAAATATTTTCAGTAAATATATAATTTGTATTACTTTTTTGTATAGGTAAGAAAATGTTACATTAAATCAATTGTGTTATAAAGAGGTAAACTTCATTTATAACAAATTTAAACAAGAAAGAAATCATGTTTATAAACCTAAGGGTAAGCCGAAGATTTAAATAAAATATAAATTTATTTTTCGTTCAAAAACAAAATAGAATAAATTGACAGAAACGGATTCTTGTTCATTTTTTACGTTTTTGGGAATATGTTTATTTAGGTAGGAAGTCCAATTAAATTTAAAGCAAAGAACCAGCTAACTTACTTCTCTGAATAAAAAAATGTAAATATGAAAGATAAAAGCTTAGCCTATGAACTGAAAGGTCTACATATCACTTCACATCCAATTCGTGACTTTCACACAATATATATTTTCACAAAGGACAGTTCTCACACAATACCAACTCTATTATAGCTCCTTTAATTTACCCGTAAATTATGCGAGCCGTATGGAAAATAGCCACAGTTTGCGGATCCGCCATCAGCGGCGAAGTAGCTTTTGTGGCCCAGCCTCATTGTGCGGTTGAAATTGCATAAACAAATGGCGAAACAATTTGTGGGCGTGAACGGCACGTGACCGCAAAACCAATTTGCCATCAATGGATGGCCTTGTTCCTTGTTCCCCTCGAGTCCTCGGGAATCTGAATTCCATATGCTGATGAGGAAAGGCGAGGCACACGCGACTGGATTTGGTTACGCTCCTGCCATACTGCCATACCTGTGCCATCGCTCCGAGGCGATTTTGTCAGTGTGACATTTCCTCATTACGGACACGTCCCATCTAGCCTCCGCTGAGTGCTCATGCTAGTTGCATTTGTTTTCCAATTACAGCCGTGCAAAATGAGCGCCAGCCCCGCAACACGGCCACTATTCGCCCGGAGACGCTGCGGGAGATGGAGCATGGACGGGCTCTGCGCGAGGCCGCCGTGGCCGTCGGAGTGTTCGGGTGAGTGTGTTCCCCTGCTTCCCCGCTTCCACGGCCCTGCACTCGAAAAAATACTTTTAAATATTGAAATACTATGAATATGTATCTAAACTCTTAAGAAATTGAAGGTCTAACAAATATACAGACTCAGCTAAATTATATGAGCATGCATCCCAAAACTTAATAACCTACATGTATGGAATAATGAACTTAAAGATGAGCCTAGACCATCTATAATATTTTAGGGGAAATTAACCAAAAATAGTATCTATTCATCAATCAATATATGATATGACCTTGGCTCACTTTTTCCTTCGGGTATTATATCAAGCATATATGGGCTACCCTCATCTTTTGGATTATTATTTCTAAATATTGTAGGTTATTTGAAGATTTGGGTGTTTTCTATAAATGGTTACTAATAACTTACCTATGCAAGAAAATTTAACAAAACAATTTCATTTTAAAAGCCTACCCTTTACAATATATTTAATGAAAATTCATATTTAAAAGATAAACATATCCTCAACCCCTGACTAATAAAAAAGATTAAGAGAAAACAAACTTCAATGATTGATTAATTTACAAATATTAAAATATATTAAATTTTCCAAGAACAATATTCTAGAGTTAAAAACATAAAATAAAAATAGAAAAGGCATAAATTAAAGTTAAATAGGTATCAATAAACAGTAAATATTACCTTATTCTTTCATCAAAAAAATAATGAGGCAAGAAATTTAAAAATGCAATGTATCAATTTGAAAGAAATTAACAATACGATTTTGATACATGATTTTTCTTTTAAAACAATTTATGGTTCAAATATAAAAGTATTTTTTCTGAGTGCATGTGGTGTGGCTGGGCTGTCATCTGCATAAGTCTATCTAACCGCCCAAAATCTGCGGGCAACTCCAATTTGCAGACCACCCGTGCTACTGTCACCGCCCTGTTACGGCTCCGGACTCCTTCCTCCGCCCTGTGAGTAGTTACTGCCCCCCAGATAGTAGTTTCGGACACGGCTTATACCATTCCTCCTCCTCCTCCATTGTTGATCCTTGAACAGCACTGGGCAGCCTGCCGACGGGACGACTGCTGCACCACAACCACCTCACCTCATCGATGCAGCTGGCCGCGAATCACATGGGCGCCGGCAGCTTTCCCATGTTCAACGCCGCCGGAGTCCACCACTCGCCCAAGGAGAAGGCCTACGGCATGGAGATGGCCAACAGCGGCAACGCCTCCCACTCGACGAACTCGAGCAGCAACCACTCCATCGACCCAAGTTCACCGGCTCCGGAAAACGCCAAGGAGAAGAACAACGCCGGCGGCAGCGTCTCCTCCATCAGCTCCTCCAGTCCCACCATGGAAAATGACAATGATGGTGGGTAATCCCAGATAAAGATATGAGAAAATATTGGGATACTAAATGGTTATATATTATATTCAGGAACACCCATAAAAATAACAATTCGATTCTGTCATATCACAAAAATAAGTTTTTCTTCATTTTTAATTGTATGATTTTGGAACGCGTTTCCGTATTTAATATACAAAAGGAGGAATCTGTATCATAAATGTGTTTAATACGCCTTACCGTAAAGTAAAATTTATGAGTTGAACAAACAATAATAAAATCCATTATTATTATAGATTTATAAAAAAAGTAAAACAGATATTAAAGAACTTAAATACATTATTAATTTTTATGTATCCCCATTGAGATATATCTATAACTTAGATATTGACTTGTGCTTTTTAGCAGTAGCTTATATATCTTCAGCTCTTTAAAGAGAACCTTTAATGAAACCTTAAATATTAAAATAAAAAGTAAATTCCTAAACTATGGAAGCTATAGCTGATTTACAATACTTCAAAAGCGTTTCTCGAAACGTGTTCAATGTTATTTTATTATTTTAAAATGATTTATCTATAATATAAGCAATATCTATAACAATTGACAAAACTTTAACCCCTACAGACGACTCCATAGATGTAACCAATGACAACGAGGAGCCGCACACGGTCAGCAGATCGGATTCCAGCTTCATCATGCCGCAGTTCATGTCGCCCAATCTCTATGCCCATCAGCACGAAACCGTTTATGAGACGAGTGCTCGACTACTCTTCATGGCCGTCAAGTGGGCCAAGAACCTGCCCAGCTTTGCACGACTCTCCTTTCGGGATCAGGTGGGCTTAAATAAGAAAATATAATAAATAAAATATAGGTAGCTAATTAAAAATATAGTAATGAACCTTAAAGGCAGTAAGATGTTTGGATGTGACTCCCACTTAATCTTATGTTCTTATATTTATTAAAACTTTGCATTCAATAATTTAATTTGAGCCTGTTATATATGAAAACTAAGAAATAAGATTGATTTTTTTAGTTAACAACTATAAAAATAAAGTACTCAAATTAAAAAACATCTACTATTCACCTGAACGTCCTTGGTCATCAGGATTCGGTTTGCTTTTTAACGTTTTGTGGTGATAAAATAACGTAAAACTTATGTTGCTTAAGAAGAAGATAATTTTAAAAGTATTTAGCTGGTTAATATTTATCAAAATCTTTACCTTACTTAGGTGATTCTGCTGGAGGAGTCCTGGTCCGAGCTTTTCCTGCTAAATGCCATCCAATGGTGTATTCCCCTGGATCCCACCGGCTGCGCCCTCTTCTCGGTGGCGGAGCACTGTAACAATCTGGAGAACAACGCCAATGGGGACACATGCATAACAAAGGAAGAGGTAGTTAATGGGTAATTATATTTAAAAGGCATTTGATGACCTTCAATTTCCTTTAGCTTGCGGCGGATGTGCGAACCCTCCACGAGATCTTCTGCAAGTACAAGGCGGTGCTGGTTGATCCTGCTGAATTTGCCTGCCTCAAGGCGATAGTTTTGTTCCGGCCAGAGACACGTGGACTGAAGGACCCGGCGCAGATCGAGAATCTCCAGGATCAGGCGCACGTAAGTATGCTATAAAAGGGAATAGGCGATGTAATCATATTAGTTAATCCACCAGGTAATGCTGTCGCAACACACGAAGACGCAGTTTACGGCCCAGATCGCCAGATTCGGACGACTCCTGCTCATGCTGCCACTGCTGCGAATGATCAGCTCCCACAAGATCGAGTCCATCTACTTTCAGCGCACAATTGGCAACACTCCCATGGAGAAAGTGCTCTGCGACATGTATAAGAACTAGTTAACTCGTGCTTTAAGTTATAACAAATTTAAATAAATATGTTTTTGTGTCTTGAATGTTAAGTTACATGACTCTTAAAAGTTTTATTTGCCATTTAATACAGCCCTAAGGAGCCAAATATCTATCCAAACGTTATTTTATATTTTTAATGAAAGCCTGTGCACAAGACTAATATAACTTACTTACTTGTGTGTATTAACAAGAAAAGGCTCAAATCATAAAGGTGTCGGTTTAATTTAAATCCAACCCAAGATGTTTTTTAGAGAATATAATTCTTAAGAGGTATCCTACTTTGAAATCGGATAAAATTTGGTAAAGTTATGGAATCAAGAAGTCCAATTTTGGGACCCCTTATTTGAAGTCATCGAAAACTGAATGCAGTTTTTTAGAAAATTAAAATACAATTCTTAAGAGGTATGTCACTTTAAAGTCGGATTAAATTTGGCAAAGTTATGGAATCTGGAAGTCCAATTTTGGGACCCCTTTTTTGAAGTCATCGAAAACTAAGTAATAACTAACATGAAAATGGGTCAAAATTTTGACCAACGTTAAAATGAAAAATTTGAATGCAGTTTTTTAGAAAATCAAAATACAATTCTTAAGAGGTATGCCACTTTGAAATCGTATTAAATTTGGCAAAGTTATGGAATATGGAAGTCCAACTTTGGGACCTCTTTTTTGAAGTCATCGAAAACTAAGTAATAACTAACATGAAAATGGGTCAAAATTTTGACCAACGTTAAAATGAAAAATTTGAATGCAGTTTTTTAAAAAATTAAAATACAATTTCTAAGAGGTATGCCACTTTGAAATCAGATTAAATTTGGCAAAGTTATGGAATATGGAAGTCCAACTTTGGGACCTCTTTTTTGAAGTCATCGAAAACTAAGTAATAACTAACATGAAAATGGGTCAAAATTTTGACCAACGTTAAAATGAAAAATTTGAATGCAGTTTTTTAGAAAATTAAAATACAATTCTTAAGAGGTATGCCACTTTGAAATCGGATTAAATTTGGCAAAGTTATGGAATCTGGAAGTCCAATTTTGGGACCCCTTTTTTAAAGTCATTGAAAACTAAGTAATAACGAACATGAAAATGGGTCAAAATTTTGACCAACGTTAAAATGAAAAATTTGAATGCAGTTTTTTAGAAAATTAAAATACAATTCTTAAGAGGTATGCCAATTTGAAATCGGATTAAATTTGGCAAAGTTATGGAATCTGGAAGTCCAATTTTGGGACCTCTTTTTTGAAGTCATCGAAAACTAAGTAAGTACTAACATGAAAATGGGTCAAAATTTTGACCAACGTTAAAATAAAAAATTTGAATGCAGTTTTTTAGGGAATTAAAATACAATTCCTAAGAGGTATGCCACTTTGAAATCTGAATAAATTTGGCAAAGTTATGGAATCAAGAAGTCCAATTTTGGGACCCCTTTTTTGAAATCATCGAAAACTGAGTAATAACTAACATGAAAATGTGTCAAAATTTTGACCAACGATAAAATGAACAAGAAAGGAAAGCTAACTTCGGGCGGAGCCGAAGTTGATATACCCTTGCAGAATACTCTGTTAATTATATTCTCCAAAATTATTCATATAATGCATTTTTAATACTCATAAAAAATCCCAACTTCCTAACTTTAAAAACACCAAAGTTATGGCATTTCCAATCGTTCAGTTATATGGCAGCTATAGGATATAGTCGGCCGATCCTTATGAAATTTGGTAGGTCGGATTGATTGGCCAAATATAAGACCCATAGAAAATCCCAACTTCCTAACTTTACAAACACCAAAGTAATGGCATTTCCGATCAATCAGTTATATGGCAGCTATAGGATATAGTCGGCCGATCCCGGCCGTTCCGACTTATATACTGCGTGCAAAGAAAAGAAGGGTGTGTGCAAAGTTTCAATTCGATATCTTTAAAACTGAGAGACTAGTTTGCGTAGAAACAGACAGACGGACAGACGGACAGACAAGCGGACAGACGGACAGACGGACATGGCTATATCAACTCAGGAGGTGATCCTGATCAAGAATATATATACTTTATAGGGTCGGAGATGTCTCCTTCACTGCATTGCACACTTTTGACCAAAATTATAATACACTCTGCAAGGGTATAAAAATTTGAATGCAGTTTTTTTAGAGAATTAAAATACAAGTGTTAGGACATATTCCTTAATAGGCTGTTATACAAAAATAACTGTTATTTTTGGTTCATCTGGCAGCGCTGCCAAGCAACTGGTATACAAAAATAGCTGTTAATTTTGGTCTATGATAGTATGAACATCTGGCAGCGCTGCCAAACAACATGTTTTCTTCGTCTACCGGCCGCTAGTTTTTAAAAGGCTCTTGATGTAGAATAAATGTAGAATTCCAAGGTTCTGGAACTGAACGCTAGATGTTGTAAGGCTTGATGTAGAAATGGAAACGCTGGGATTGGGTGGGTCTTGAGGGGGGCAAAGCTGGCAGTCTTGATGGTATGATTTCGGGCGGGAGGCTTGGGAGCGTTTCCTACGCTTTTCTGAGGGGGTGCCAGGGTCGTGGCGGATTTGGGGAGCGGGGAGCAACTTTTGGGGGGCCTGACGCTGCGGTCCGAGTTGGGAAAACTGAGAAATTTAGGAAAAACCGGTAGTGTTCAGTTTGACGGTCTGGTAGCACTATATATTGCATAAGGGTAACAGACGCGACGGGAAAACTAGTGTATTCGATCACTTTCCACGGAAAACTTATCGCGGCGACCTGCCCCCCACCCTTGGCTCCTGTCGACAGCACTTTTTTCTCGCGGAAAATGCGGCGGAACGGAGAATTTCGCGACACATAGATTTCAGGTCCAGGCAGTGTGACCACCTTTGGGCTTAACGCAAAAATAGGCGTTTTCTGGCCAGTTTCGCAAGGCGTTACGGGACCTTCTACGTTTTATGCAAAGTGGTCATAAAGTTTTGGCGCCTTTGTTCAAAGTTCTTAAGTTACCATACCTGTGTTTTTAATATTATGGACCTTTTAAGGCTTAAATTCTTTGCTATGCTGCACCGGCGCGCCCAGGTGGACAAGCACCTCCCACAGATGGATGATCAATAAATAATATTCAATATCAAATTCAACAATATCATTTAGCTGCCATGGAAAATGCAGCCCAAAATTGTCATAACTGCAATAATTAAATATTTGTTACCTAACGTTAACATTATATTAATGTCGTAAGTGTTTCTTGGTTCAAAAAAATGAACCGGAAATCTGCTGAATTATATATAGACATTAATTTGTTAAATATAAATTGTATTGAGTTTTAATTTCTTTGTACACCGGCAAACTTGTCTTATCTTTTCGAAAGAAGTACTGCGGCATCAAGGACCAATTTGTCGTGGTCATCACTCTTTTCGGCTTGGACGCTGACGAGGGACAGGGAAAGGACATACAATTTTTTACAAATTTGGACAGCTTCTAAGTAGCTATTTTCTCATTTAACTTTTCGTTTTTTGTTAAACCTGTTTAAAACTAAATTGGAAACCATGCTTAGCTTAAAATGTAAGCCAAATATTTTTAACACATCACTCTCTTACATCATCCTAATAAGAAATCGCTGGTATTTCTCTAGAGCATGATTTCTTATCTGTAAAAGGTGGCGCCAAGGATTCAAAGTCGCTCCCGGAAAACCTTCAACCCTGATTGGAGCCCTTGGCGACGCCTGGTCACACCGGGCGGCGGGAGTAATCTGCGGGAGCACAGGCTCCAATTTGAGCCAACGTTACTGAGTGATGCCAAAGGAATGCGCTCCACGAAAAAAAAACAAAAAGTTTCGTCGGGAAAACTGCAGCCAATGTCTGGCTCGTAAAATGTGCAATTAAACCGCAATAAATGGTAAAGTTCAAGTGAAATAACAAGAAATTGCAAATTAAAAAAAGGCAATAAAAGCCAACAAAAATCTCCTGGCATAGGTGTGTGTGTATGAGTGCGTAGTGATTTTAGCGATGGTGTGGGTGTGCGCGCACAACAAAATATAAATAAAACTCCAATGTCACCGAGTCGAGTTGATAAAAAGCATCGCTAAAGGCCTTTTAATTGCCGCTGCAGTCGATAAATCATCAAACGGGAATGGAATATGAAAGCATCTCAGGAATCCAGTGCGTAAAATTAGAATGCAACGACAACAACAACAACACGCGGGCGGAGGCAGGAAAGATACAAAATAGCCAAGGAGCCAATATACATACTCGTACCTATACATTTACATCCACGTCCACGTCGTAAAGTGCGTCCAAACGGGAGAGCACTCTCTCTCTCTCTTTGGGCTCCCACTCCCCCACTTCCTGCACATATGCTGCGGACAACAACAACGCAGCATGCTCCTCCTGGGGATGCTGCGTGAGTAAGAGAGAGAAAGAGAGAGCGCCACTCCGAATCAAAGAGCGCAACTACACTTTGAAAAGAAATCAATTTAAAAAAAAATAACAAAATATAATAAATATAATAACAAATTTAATTTTAATTTTATTATTATTTTGTAATAAATTTATTGTAGTCAAACATGAATTACAAATAGGGCCAGAAAACTAAAAAGAAAACATTTTTAAAGTAGGTTGCGAAAGCAACTCCTTTATTTAGATTTCCCAGTTCCTTATCTAAGGTCAAAATAAAGAGATTCCTTATATTATGAATTTAAGCTACATTTGTTAAAAATATATAA